CCCCCTCCCCCACTGTATGTTTGTTTTGGTATGCAACTTTCCCTTTACTCTATGTTTTTTTTCTTTCACATAATGTCTACATTTAGTTACTTCTATAGTTGCAATGTGGTATATTGATTATGGACCTCATCCCATAAAGGAGGTAGGGGGGCAAGTAGAATTGTCTTTTTCCCCATAGCATTCTTTGGTGTTCTGTCTTTGAAGAAGATTGATAGAAAGCATTTTGGAAGCATGACCTTTTGGAGATTAATTAGCACTCACTACCATTTGGAATAATCATAACCTTTTTGTAAAGTATGATCTTTCTGAGAAGAGCTAAAACTCTTTTGAGTGAATCTTCTCTTTAGAGGTATATATCCACTAGTATTCATGCAAGGCAATTTAGGTTTCTCAGTTGTTAGACTGATATACCTGGTTATCTCTTTGAATGGATAGGAACAAAGATTATGCCAGTGCATAAAATATATAGCAGATCTTCAGAAATGTATTTCAGTTGCCCAAAAAATCTACTCTTACATAAAATATATTTGGTTTTAAATCATGCTCTCAAGAGACAAAATATAAATAGTCTTTGGAAGCTTCAAAAAGTCCAATGAGAGGCAGCCAGGTTAATAACTGGGGCGGCATACAGGGAGCACACAACTTCCATGTTATGCCAGCTCCACTGGCTGCCAGTTTGCTACCGGGCACAAGTCAAAGTGCTGGCTTTGGCCTATAAAGCCCTAAACGGCCCCGGTCCAATTTACCTGTCTGAACGCATCTCCCCGTATGAACCACTGCAGAGATTAAGATCTTCTGGGGAGGCCCTGCTCTCGGTCCCACCACCATCACAGGCACATTTGATGGGGACGAGAGACAGGACCTTCTCAGTAATTGCCCCTCAGCTATGGAACTCCCTTCCTAATGAGAGACCCTGGAGGAAAGCAAGAGTCATCACCCTCTTGTCCTTTAGAAGGATGATAAAAATGTGGCTGTGGGACCGAGCCTTTGGGACTGTGCAATGAGGTAGCGATAGGAACCCTTAGTATGCCAACCAAATTTGATATGGTTGTTGAGACAGTTTTAACTAGTGGATTTTAATGTCGAGATATGTGATTTTAATGCTTTTGAATGTGTATGGTATAATATGTTTCGGCATTGAATGTTTGCCGTTTATATGTTGTGCTCCGCCCTGAGTCCCCTTTGGGATGAGAAGGGCGGAATATAAATGTTTTAAATAAAAAAAATAAAAAATAACACAGTTGGATTACTTACAAACTTCATGTATTCAGCATACAGGTACATTGCTTATCAGTTGAAAGTTTAAATAGTAAGTTCTGTTGCAGTCTCTTCTCTGTAGTATCTAAAGCATAACTCAATCAGTCTGATGCAGTCTTATGTCTAATGCATAATGAACACTGACTATACAATACTGACTGAACACAGACTTCTGAAATGGAGTCTCAGCCTGAATAGTCCCAGATCTGATTACATGGTCTGCAGTCCCTCCCACAACCTCAAACAACATAGAATTAAGGGAAAATTGCATATCAATACACACATATACAATATAGTAAGCAACCTGAATACACACACACAGAGACACACACACACATATACACAGACACACACACACACACAACAACAACAACAACAACAACAACAACAACAACAACAACAGCAAATAACTAGTATAGGAGTCTTGTAGAATGTTGCTATTTCCAACACTACGTGCAGGGAGAGGAATTGAATAGATTCCTCCCCATCTTTTAAATCCATCTGTTTCTACATGTTATAGAGACAGAGTCTCATGAGCAACCGCCAGAAGCAGCCCTGCATCATTTGATGGACTCCATGGGATTTCGTCTTTGAAGTGTGTAGAAATGGAGGAAAACCTCCATCTGGTGAGGTCATAAGACTCTGGAGACCAGGGTTTAAATCCCCACTCAGGCATGGAAACCCACTGGATAACCTTGGGCAAGTTGCACTTTCTTAGCCTCAGAGGAAGGCAAAGGTCCATATGAACAAATCTTGCCTGATTAATTCACCTTTGAGTAGCGGTAAGTCAGAAATAACTTGAAGACATGCAACAGCAACTTGGTTAAACCGTGTGTGACTTTGTTACTAAGGTGTGATTTGACTTGTAATACAGTATTCTGATTTATTCTTTTAGGTAGCTAAGGTAGCTAAAAGTAACTATTTATATTTTCTTTGAATGGTAAGAAAGCCAAATTTTAAGGATTTGTATCTGCAAAGGTAACCAGGTGTTTTGGAAAGAGTGACAACTGTAATGCTTTTATAAAAAGTAATTTTCCAAACCCTGCTACTTCTATGACTTCCCTTTGCTTTGTTCTGTAATGGCCCCAAGAGAAACCTGAACCCAAAAGGCTTTGAGGCCATTTGCCAGCAGGCTAAAATGAGACATAAAAGGGAGAAACACGGCAGGGTATAAAAACTTAAATGTACTGTTCAGTTTTAAAGCAAAGCTATAACGTTTTCACTTTGAACGTATGTTCAGGAGTATGACTGGAACAAATGCAAACATTAAAATATATGGTGGGTTTTTTTCCAAGGCTTTCTATTCATTATGGGATTAAGAACAGAGGGGAAAGTAGTTTGGAGTAGTGGTCAGACCTGCCAAGTATGAGTGGGTATATCTATCCATTTTACTTTCTCCCCCCCCCCCCTCACTTTCAATTTTGTTTCAAGCAGCTTCTTGGTTGAATCTCTGAAAAAATGCACATTTTGAGAAGTTCAAATTAAAAACAAGTGGAACAAAATTCTTAACTGTTTGCACTGGGCAAATTCAGTAGGGACAGCTATTCTCAAAATAGACTAAGTTGCATGTGTTAAAAGGTGAAGAGTGGATAATACATGTGGCTAATTTAGCATCACTAAAGTGGTTGAATACATAGATACTTGCTTTTAAGAGCTGAATGCAACCTTCTGCTTCCGACAAATCTATCTGTTTTGATGTCATCCACATTCATACACACGCACGCACACACACACACACACACACACATTTTTTTATCAGAACTCAAACCAAACAAGATCTTCAGCCTTTGTTAAATCTAGGAGATGGGAAAAAATACTTATTTGGTCTTCCTTTCTCAGCCAAAAACTGGGAAGAATCCAGACAGATACAAAGACATACATAGGAAAGATTTTTGCACTTTGGATGTGGTTTTTCTTCAGTGGCTTGGGGCGGGGGGGGGGGGGGGGGGGGGGAGAAAAGGCCTGGGGCCAGGAATTGTGGGAGCTCAAGTCTAAAAGACTTGGAGGGCCCAAGTTGGCCCATGCCTGATCTAACTCCTCCAGCATGACCATAGAATCATGCTGGAAAACCTAGAGGTCCTTAGAGAGAACCTATTGATTAATTCCATGAGTAACATGCCTCCAATCAAAAAAATAATTTTAGTGCCTTGGTTTTTAGGCTTGTTCCTGGGGATATTTGGGATACCGATTCAGAAAATTACATTGTCTAGACCACATCAGATATGGTTATCATGGTTGTCTTATGGGCAAGCAAATGAAGACTGGTATATGGCATGTGTTTAGTATCTCAAAAAACTAGAGTTGATAGGAGAAAACTGGATTGGGAATCTTTTTGGAATCAGCAGATTGAATATAGCCAGAAACAGGTTAAACAGTTGAGGCACCAAAGTGTGTGCTGGTCAGTGTCATTAGTTTACCAGGTTGACCATAGAATCACACTGCAGAACCTACATAAGTCTTCTTGCTATGAACTTTTAGGTTCTCCAGCATGACACTGTGATAAACATGTGCCAGAAGGATTACTGTAGAGCAGGCATGGACAAACTTTGGCTCTCCAGGTGTTTTGGACTTCAACTCCCACAATTCCTAATAGCCTACCAACTGTTAGGAATTGTGGGAGTTGAAACCTAAAACACCCGGAGGGCTGAAGTTTGCTCATGTTTGCTATAGTCATATTGGACGACTTGGGGATTCCTAGAATGAATGTATTAATCAAGTCCATGAATAATCACATCTGCAAAAGGTAAACCTGCAAATGTTTTGTGTGTTTTTTTTAAATAGTAAGTAAACATGGAGGGGGCAATGTAGAGAAAGCAAGATCAGGTTCAAAATATGCACCCATTTTGTGTTTTTTCTCCCAACCTGATTATCCTTTATCCCACTCCGACAAGGTACTAAAAAAGGCTGAACTCCATTGGGAACAATTGATCCTCTCCTCTGGAATTTAGCTTCTATGTAGGACAGTGTATTGAAACAAAAAAGCCTCAGGAGAGAATACATCTAGAACATGGCCATACAGGCTGGAAAACCTACAACAACCCAGCCTCTAATCCCTGCATGTATTGGACTTGAGCTCACTAAAATTATTGACAAGTTAAAAATAAACTACTCCTGAATGGCTCGCTATGCATTTAGTATAGCATGTAGTTTATTCCAGGAAGGAGATACACCGTACAAAGAAAATCGTGCGCTGTAGGTGAACAGTATTTGGAGATACAGGAATGACTGTCTCTGGCATGCAGCAATGGGATTTGCTGTTTTTGGTAAAGCTATGTGGTTCCATCCATGCTCACCTTTTATATTTGAAAATAGACTCACATAGTTTGTAAAAATAAGGGTCTCTTTCAACCCAGCCAATTAATACAGGCTTGACACATGCATACTGAACCACTGAAGAGAAGTGACCACCAAGTCATGAGAAGTTCAGGAGGATGATCAGACCAAACACAAGCATTGCACTATATGATCTACATCTGTTGGTGCTATTGAAGGCCAAAACATATGGGGACCCAAAGGTTGAAAACCACTGATCTAGAGATTTGATTTTGTTGGACATTTCTATATGTTCTTTGGGTTAGTTCATTAAGAGCTACAGCAACAGCCAAAATACTGTAGAAACCTCTAACTCTCATGTTGAAACACCAGCTACTCATCTGGACACGATTCAGAGCTTTGGTTATGATCTATAAAGATTATTGTCAGTAAATGGTTGATTATAATTTCTTCTCTGTCTTTACCTGCAGCATGGCACAGAATGGACGGGTTCTGGATGTACATCCTGCTCATGTGCAAACGGGGAGTTTTTTTGCACCTCCAAACCTTGCCCTGATGTTTCTTGTGAGAGAAATGAAGTTAGGTTCATCAGTCAAGAAGACTGCTGCCCACAATGTCTTAGCATTGGAGGTGAGAAGGGTTCAGTTGGGAGGTGTCTTGTGTTCATGGTTTTGTTCCTTAGATATGTCAGCAAATATCCATCTGCTACCATTGCCCAGTACCTGATTGTCTCTCCCACAGGTGGGTGTAATGTTTCCCTTATAGTCATGTATTAAAAGAGTTTTGTTTGAAGAGGATAGCAGGAAAAATCTAGTGGACCTACTCATGAGCGGACTTTCACCTTGAAATTTTGGAGAATTTGTGATGGGAATGTGACCTGAAAACAGCTCCCTCAGCTCACTTCATTTTTGTACTGCTTTGTATTAGCAGGCTTCCCAATTCCTACCAGCTGCCATCTTGTCCACATACTTTCAGAATGTTATATGATGGCATAGGATTTTGGGGGGCTTCCAGATGCAATTCCTAGCAGCCCTACCAACATAGTTCATGGTGAGACACATTGGAGTTCCTGTTCAACAACATCTGGAAAGATCATGTAACATCCACCCTGTTGTATGAAAACACAGTAAGACCCTTATAACCACAGAACCATTTCCATGGTTCCACTTAACCACACTGGGAGAAATTCTCTCTCTTGGAATTTGCTAAATCTTCCAATGTGATTCTATGGTATGCTTTCCTAAGGAGCTACCAGAGAGTCATCTGGTGGCTTAGCTAATTCTTAGAGATGATACCTTTCTAGACGTCTCTAGACCTGGAGTGTCAAACTTACCTTCCTCAAGAGCCACATCAGCCTTATGGTTGCCTCCAAAGGACCATTGAATCCATTGATGCAGAATCAATGGATACAGTGGATCAACTATAGTATTTGTACATGAAGGTTGGTGCTCTTTAGTTTGGGTCCTCAGATGTTATTGAATGACTCCCATCACCTTTGCTCATCTGCCATACAGGCTGGGGATAATGGGATCTGCAGACCAACATCACTTATGGCTCTGAGGTTGGGGAAAGGAGAAAGGCCATTTTAAAGTCAGGCGTCATATCCACAAGCCTTATATCTAAATTCAAACCCCACAATCCTGACTAAATAGAATGAACAGCATTCTGGATGTGATTGTATCACATCAACTCTATTTATTTTGTCTAATGATGAGAACTCCAGGAGTCATAGTCTAGTATCTGGAGGGCCACATAAAATGACATGGAGGGCCTTGGTTTGACACATGTTGTTGGGATCCAGACACCTTTAAAGAGCCAGACACAGGGAAAAGGGCCAAACAAAGTTTATTAAAGCAACAAAAAGGACTCAGGAGCACTTAATTCAGTGTCCCTGGTCAAAATTGAAAATCTCTAGCAAATTGCAATGTAAAAACTCGGCAAATAATCTGGATTAAACCGGCATATAGTCCGGGATAAACAAAAGATTGAGCAAAACGCCGCAAAATCACAGAGTTCAAAGAATACAAGCAAACAAGGTGTAGAAAAACAAAGCCATCGTCCAAAAGCAGTCCAAGATCTCAGGAAGTCCAATAGAAGATGTTAAAGTCCAAAAAGCAGCGTCGTCGTCCAAGCAATCCAAAGTCAAGTGGGGAAGAAGTCAGCACTTACAAGATTCCAGTCCAGTCAAAACACGGAGAATGCAGCAACCTGTAGTTCGAGGACCCAACAAGCGACAAAGACCCAGGCATGAATCCAACACTTTGCCTTCTGCAAAGTTCCATTACCTCAGTGCCTACATTTATCTTACAACTCATTATCGCTTGATGAGCTGTCCTCCACCCTCTCTTCATCACTGTCAGTTGCTTTAGCCTCTACAGCTGAGTGCCAACACCCATCCCGCCAACTTTTCCATCTCTTATCAAGACTTAGGTCTCCCCACGTATCACCAGTTTGCCAATCCCCAGAAAACCCCTCAAAAGTATCGCTGGACATAGGTTGTGTACACACATCTCTGACTTCTTGCACACGAGTCCAATCCAACCCATCCTCCTCCTCTTCACTACTCCCAGACCCATTACTTCCTGTGAAACCCTCCTCTTCAGTAGGAGCAGTAAGTATGTCACGGATGCATTTCCTCTGATAGTCCTCATCAGACTCTTGCTCGCGAGTAGTCCTTTTTACACCTCTACTACAATCTCCTTCCTCCTCCATTTCATTTTCTGAAAAGCCCTCAAAATAGTCTTCGTCTGTAGGTGACATGAATATTTCCCTGATTCTCTTTCTTTGTTGTTCCTCATCCAAACTCTGGGCACCTCTCTTCCCTCCTCTGCTATTCCCTCCATTAGTTATAACGTTACCAGGAGACTCTACTACAACACTTGTGCTCTAGAAACTTCAGTGCAACTCTGTGCTGGGAGCCAGGTAATTTAACAGCATTCGTCCGTATCTGAAATTTCAAGTAACTGTGATCCAGCCAGGAACATATCTCCAATGGATGCGGGCGGATATGCAAAGTGCCTTTTCCGTACAGATTTGCTTAAGGGAGAATTGACCCTATTACTGTTTATGGTGATTTATGCATATTGTGAGCTTGATTTTCTGGCTTTCCATCTCATCCCCAGCATGCATTTACATGATTATTTTAGAGAGGGAGCTCTCAGAATTGTATATCTATTCAGTAGTACAGGACATGCATTGATTCTGGATAGATTTTCAGCTAATTTCATGGAAGTTGGGAAAGGGGAAAGTATGTCAAGTCCTGCTGGTCCTCCAAATCTCACAGTCCCAAGGCGCTAGATGTCTGTAATACTTATGTGATTACTTTGCTCATATAAATATGATAATAAATATGCCTGGCATTTCTGCTATAGAGAATGAGGCACATGTCTCAAGTGATATATAGCGGCTCCTGACCCCTGTTGCGGGTCTGACCCATGCCTGCCATATAACCTCCTAAACTGGGTTGCTGACACTTTGGGTGCAGTGGAGGGTGCTATCCTAGTTCCAGTATCGGAATAACAGACACAGCTGGCAATATATTCAGTTTCTGTATATAGCATGCTAGAATTGGGGGCTATCCTTTACCTCAAACAGCAAATTATTTAAGTCTGGCTCTGTATACTAAAACATAAATACAGCAGAGCAAAGATCAAGCAACTCATTATGAGGCAGTAGCTTTAATTGCGAGCAATGGTAAATGAACAGAATTGGGGATATGCTTTTCAAATCACTTAGGACTTTTTATCTTGTAAAGTATTATGAAATGCAGAGTGGAAGGTTTGGGGTAAAAAGAGGGTAAAATCCCCTGACATGAAGTTGCAGTCATAAAGCACGAATATAGAAAAGGTAAAGGTTTTCCTCTGACATTAAATCCAGTTATGTCCAACTCTGGGGGTTGGTGCTCATCTCCATTTCTAAGCTGAAGAGCCGGCGTTGTCCATAGACACCTCCAAGGTCATGTGGCCAGCATGACTGCATGGAGCACTGTTACCTTCCCGTTAGGGTGGTACTCATTGATCTACTCAGATTTGCATGTTTTCGAACTGCTAGGTTGACAGAAGCTGGGGCTGACAGCGGAGTGGTACCTATTGATCTACTCAGATTTGCATGTTTTCGAACTGCTACGTTGACAAAAGCTGGGGCTGACAGTGGAAGCTCACACCACTCCCCAGATTCGAACCTATGATCTTTCGGTCAACAAGTTTAGCAGCTCAGCGGTTTAACCCACTGCGCCACTGGGGGCTCCCAAAGCACGATATAATAATAATAATAATAATAATAATAATAATAATAATAATAATAACAACAACAACAACAACAACAACAACAACAACAGCACTTTATTTATATTCCTCCCTTTTCCCCGAGGGGACTCAGAGCATATAAATGGACACAGGCAAGCATTCAATGGCTTGTTACATTGAAATACTATAAAACACAAATACACAGACAAAGGCAAAGGCTTCTCCTTTCATTTCCAGCTCTGGAGGCAGTGCTTATGTCCAGCTCTGGGGGAGATGCTCACATCCATTTCCAATTGAGGAACCTGTGTTGTCCAGAGAATAGTTTTAAGAAAGAATGGAAGAAAAAATGAAGACTCAGGCCCCTTTTGCTCCATCATATAATCCAGATTATCAAAGTAAATTATCTGCTTTGATCTGGATTTTATGTGTCTATACTGCCATATAATCCAGTTCAAATGAGATATTCTGAATTTTATATTATAGTGTAGAAAGGGCCTCTGGGTTCATCTATAGTGCAGAATTAATGAAGTTTGACACCTCAGTGCTATGAAATCCTGAGAACTGTAGTTTTACAAGGTCTTTACTCCAGCCGTCTCCGCAAAAGAGTGTTAGTGTCTCGCCAAACTACAAAGCCCCTAATTCCATACCATTGGGCCATGGCAGTTGGAGTAGTGACAAACTACATTAATTCTCCAGTGGAGATGCAACCGTAGAGACTTCTAGAGAGAACATTTCAATCAAATCCATGAATAATCAAATCCGCAGAAGTCAAACCCACAAATGCAGAGGGCTCACTGTAACTCATCTTGTTTCACTTGTGAAATTCTGCAGTTGAATGGCTAAATTAGGTATTTTCCCAAGTTATTTGTAAATCAAATTAAGTAGTATTGATCCATAAGACCCTGTTAGGAAATTCATGATGAGGCAGTACTTTTCTTAGGACTAACCTGACATGCAAAAAGCTGTAGCTGAGCAAAGGCACTTCGAGTTTTAGATAAAAGATTGCCATGTGGTGTGGCATCTTCATTTGACCACAAGAGACATGTTTATAGGATTATGTGAGTAAAGATGTGGTATATCTTGTGGTGAGTCCGTCCTCTAAAAATTAAATTACTGTGATTGCACAGCCTCTATAATATTTCATGAAAATGTTCTCTCCAATTCTTTTTAGAGACCTGCTCTTTCGATGGCCAAGTTTTCCGGGATGGTGAGGAATGGCGATCCGGCCGCTGTGCCAAATGTATTTGTCAGAATGGGACCATGGAGTGCTTTACAGCGCTTTGTCATCCTGTGTCGTGTAATGAGGTATGATTATGCATGCTGTCAACTTCTTTGCATTTTATTAGCTTAAAAAAAAACCTGTAATTAGGCAATGTATATCCTTGTTGGAAGTTGCTGTCCAGGCAAAAGACTGTTGTTATTGGAAATATAAATTAGAATTGGATTATCAAGCATCGTTGTCGTCTTTTCCTCTTCATCACTGCTAACTACAGCTAAGCTGAAAGGGACAAAGCTGGGAAAAGTTAGGTTCTCGGAATCCCAAGACTATGATTTCTGATGGACATAATAGAAACTCCCAGGCCATTTTAGTTGGGGGACTTTAGAAATTATACTGCTGAAAAAAACTACATTTCCAAGCTTTGAAGGGATCTGAGCAGGCTTTCCCCTCTGTTTGCTTAGCAGTTGGTGGAGAGCAATAGTGAATGGTACACTGGCCAACACACATTTTTCTGCCTCAAGTGTTAACTTGTTCACGGGTATATTTGATCTGCCAATTCCAAAAATACCACCAGTTTTCCCCTATCAGCTGTAGTTTCTGAGATATGGAACTTATGCCAGTAGCCATCTGCTCACCCATAGAAAACCATGATAACCATATCTAGAGCTGATGTGATTCATCCAATGCAATTTTTTGAATCAGGATCCCAAAGAACCACAGGAACAGACATAAAAACTCAAAACACCAAGAATTGTTTTCTTGGGCTTTGTTATCCACTCTCATTGATCTCATCTCTTCATGATGTCATTGGGTTTCAGTCTGCTCAAATGTCTGACCATCTGGCAGCATTACATGCTATCTTACCATTTAGAATCAGCTTCAGGAAGATGAATAATAATTTATCTATTAATTGAAATGTTCATTCCTTACCATAGTGGGCTCTCTACGTTTGTGGTTATCACTTTAGAAGATTTGATTACAGATGGATTTGACTAACATGTTTGCACTAGGAATATCAGGGTCCTCTAATATGTCTCTTTAGTTAACTTCTGCCAAAAGTTGACCCCAGAGTTGCACTGGAGGAGCTAGAGATTTCTAGAAAGAACACTCTTCTTGGCATTTGTAGGTCGTATTAGATCAGTAGTTCTCAACCTGGGGTCCCCAGATGTTTTTGGCCTTCAACTCCCAGAAATCCTAACAGCTGATAAACTGGCTGAGATTTCTGGGACTTGTAGGCCAAAAACATCTGGGGACCCCAGGTTGTGAACCACTGTATTAGATGGTCAATGTCTGACAAAGCTTGGCCATAAGGGTTGTGCTGGAGGAGCTTGACATTCCTAGAGGGTTGTCATTCCCTATTGTAGAGGAGGTCTGAAGGAAGATCTTTAAGTGGAGAGAAGTAAAAACTGTTTAATAGCCTGTAATAATGTTTAGATTATTTTTTGCACACAGCACAAAAAGCTTATTCAGGTCTTTCTTGTATGATTTGCTCTATTTCTGAATTCTCTTGATTAGGATGTAATGTGAGGAGAAACTGAAAATACATTCCAGTCAACAGTTGGCACTCGTTGGCATTATAGATCAATTTAAGTACACGTTTAAGCTTCACGCGTGCAAATGAGCATGTTTGTCATAAATGATCTAAGCTCTTTAAGTATATTGTCCAAGTAATTTCTAATGACAACCCTGTAGAAGTGGGCTGCTCCCAAGTCTTTTTTGGTTGAGTTGAGAAACAAACATTCAGTTTGCCTTCCAGTTTCCATCTCATGACCTTGTGGTGAGTCCATGTTGTACACCAGAGCAGGAACACCTCTGACCTTAAACACCACACCAACTTGGTAAAATCAGCAAGCGGTTCATTGAAGAATATATGTAGGCAAAGCAGTAAAAGTAGCAAAAACAGTAAAGATCCCAAAACAAAGGATCGTCCATGAGCTTCAAGGCAAAATAAGATCCATTGGAACAACAATCCATGAAACAAGGCAGCATGAAAAATCTAATACACAAAACAGGAGCTTGGCAAAAACTTGGTATATGAAACTAAGAACACTTGAAAGCAAGGCCGTTATGAACTTCCAACGTTGACCCAACTGAGACAACTCTTTCCCAATATGAATCTATATAAGGCTTTTCCAGATCCCAAAACTGAAAGGAAACCTTTCTCTTGACCTTGATATCAGAGAAAGGTTTCTTACCCTTCCCCCCCCCTGTAAATCAGTGTTTCTCCACCTTCCTAATGCCGCGACCCCTTTAAAGCTTGAGGTGCATCTGTTTTGCAGAATTAATACAGTTTGATATCATTTTAAACTACCATGGCTCAAAGCTATGGAATCACCAAACTAGAAATTCCATGATTTCGTAGCATTGAGGCATGGTAGTTCAAGTGATGCCAATCAGCATTAATTCCACAGTGTCAATGCACCTTTGGATTAAAACCAAGCCTGCCTCCAAAGGGGACATAAATGTAACCCATTGTCCATGAACCCAAAGTCACATTACCCTATTGCTTTAAAAAAGTCATTTACTTTTCAAAGCTTCATTCTCTCCAGGTTGTTGTAGGTTTTTTGGGCTGTATGGCCATGTTCTAGAAGTATTAGCTCCTGATATTTTGCCTCCATCTATGGCACGCATCCTCAGAGGTTGTGAGATCTGTTGGAAACTACTAAAATTGAGTTTATATATCTGTGGAAAGTCCAGGGTGGGAGAAAGAACTCTTGTTTGTTGGAGCTGGGTGTGAATGTTTCAGTTGGCCACCTTGATTAGCATTTGATGGCCTGTCAGTTTTTAGGTGTGCCCTGCAGACTACTTCAACCAGAGAAGTCAGCCATAGCAGAGCACCTGATGAACCAACCTGGAAACAGCATATTATTTGCAGATACAAAAATGCCGGACCACTCTAACAACTACCATGTCAGGCTACACAGAGAAGCCATTGAAATCCACAAGCATGTGAACAATTTTAACAGATAGGAAGAAACCATGAAAATGAACAAAATCTGGCTAACAAAATCTGGCAACAAAGATCCGCATAGTTAAAGCAATGGTATTCCCCGTAGTCACCTACGGATGTGAGAGCTGGACCATAGGGAAGGCCGAGCGAAGGAAGATAGATGCTTTTGAACTGTGGTGCTGGAGGAAAGTTCTGAGAGTGACTTGGACTGCGAGAAGATCCAACCTGTCCATACTTCAAGAAATAAAGCCTGACTGCTCATTGGTGGGAAAAGTAGTAGTGGCCAAGATGACGTACTTTGGCCACTTCATGAGAACAAAGGAAAGCTTAGAGAAGACAATGATGGTGGGGAAAATGGAAGGAAAAAGGAAGAGGGCTGACCAAGGGCAAGATGGATGGATGGTATCCTTGAAGTGACTGGATTGACCTTGAAGGAGCTGGGGGTGGTGACGGCCAACAGGGAGCTCTGGCGTGGACTGGTCCATGAAGTCACAAAGAGTCAGAAACGACTGAACGAATGAACAACAACTGGCTACCAGTAAAAAACTCTAAAATTATAATGGTAAATAAAGAACAAAATTGAAACACAGGGGAACTCCAGTCAGGAAACAATCAGGAACAATCACCTCTCAACAAAAAATTTCCCTAGGCAGTAACAGGGCACACCTAAAAACTGCCAGGCCATCAAATGCTAATCAAGGTGGCCAATTGAAACATTCATACTCTGCTCCAATAGACAAAAGTTCTTCCTCCCACCCGACTTTCCACAGATATATAAACCCAATTTTCCTAGTTTCCAACAAACCCCACAACCTCTGAGGATGCCTGCCATAGATGCAGGCAAAACGTCAGGAGAGAATGCTTCTAGAACATGGCCATACAGCCCAAAAAACCTACGACAACCCAATGATTCCAGCCATGAAAGCCTTCGACAATACATTCTCTCCATTTCAAATTAAGCCAAAACCTTTTAAAATGCTGATATTTATGGTTGCCTGTCCTTCTTTTTTCCTTCTTGTCCTTCGGCACGTTCCTTTTTGAAAATATGTGCCAGAATTGATCCCTTGATGTCTGGGGTTGGAGCGTGGGGTTAGTCATCCAGGCTCCTAGAATCTTTGGCCCGGAAGGCAACAGGCAAAGAAGAGCTCTGCCATCATCTTCACGCCATAAAACCGTTTCTCTTTTAAGATCTCCCCCACCTGCCTTTTAAGCATCCAGGTGTTCACATTAGTAATACCAGCAATTTTTTTTGATGAGGGTATATAAATGCTTTTAGTGGGGGAGGCATACTAAAAAATGTTCTGTGCTCATTCGGCTCTGTAGCGAAGATGAAGAGCTAAAAGAAATGAGCCTTACAAGAAATTTATGGAAAATACCTAAATGTTTCCATCTCACCCCTCTCTTCCGATGTGCCGTTATCTCAAAATTGATCATGCTGATATTTAATCAGCCGGTTTCTCGAATGCCGTGGAACATGGAAGAAATATATTGGCGACTTGAGAAGGGTGTGAATAATCAGATTGGAAATCTCCGCGCTAATGCGAAAACAGCAACCCACTCCCTCTTCAGCTAATTTTCAGAATCATTGATGGATTTCCTAACAAGAGATTCTGATGGAAAATGCATTAATCTTAATGGTGGGAATCCTACCCTGTTCATTCTTCTCTTCCATTTTTTTACCTCTCCACTGCCTTTTATCCATGTACTGGTAAAGTGGCTATCAGTAGGACAAGCTGTGAATAGTTGGAGAAGGAAAGGCTTGGGGAAAGAAAAAGAAATAAGCTCTGGGGTCATGTATAAATGGCGAAAGTAGGATTTTTTATTTCTAACTTTTAAAGGAGTTTTTAAAGATACAGAAACTATACTGAGGCTGTGGTTCAGGTGCTAAAACTGAAAGCAGATGTTGTGTGCTAGGACGTGGAACAATGGCTTTTCAAACTACAAGAAAGGAGATTCCATCTGAACATGAGGAAGAACTTGCTGACTGTGAGAGCCATTCAGCAGTGGAACTCTCTGCCCTGGAGTGTGGTGGAGGCTCCTTCTTTGGAAGCTTTTAAACAGGGGCTGGATGGCCATCTGTCAGGGGTGCTTTGAATGCAATATTCCTGCTTCTTGGCAGGAGGTTGGACTGGCTGGCCCATGAGGTCTCTTCCAACTCTATGATTCTATGTACTTTTCTTCATAGCTGAGACTCAGGGTGGTTTACACTGACCTTGCCATTCAACTCCGTTGATATGAGAGTTAACATCTGCCACTTTTTAAGGAGATTATTAGTGGAAGCTTCTTTGTGTTCTTTCTTAAAGTCAATGGTTCGTTCTTAGATTGGCTGAAATTCAACTCCAGGATTCACATTTCAAAGCTTTAGCTATTTTTTTCCAGGCCTACCATGGATGGCATCAGGACCTACAGAGGTGTTAAAAAAAACACACACACACATTTAAATGGGATGCCAGGTGTATTGAAATACCATTTCTGACTATTATGGAATGATAGAACAGTGGGAAGAGGGCTGGAAATCCACAATTCATGGGCCATATTATTAATGTTTTGTGCCTCCAAGTTGGTACCATGTTGTTGTTTTGTTTCTCTAATGCAGGCATGGGCAAACTTTGGCTCTCCAGTTGTTTTGGACTTCAACTCCCACAATTGTGGGAGTTGAAGTCCAAAACACCTGGAGGGCCAAAGTTTGCCCATGCCTGCTCTAATGTGTCTTTAACATAACTCCTAGAATAATTCAGAAGTGATTTGCCTTTTCCTTCTACTTAGACTAGCATTTCTCAATCTGGGGGTTGGTACCCCTTGGGGAGGTCGCAAGGGAATGTCAAAGGGGTCGCTAAAGACATAAGAAAACACAGTATTTTCTGTTGGTCATGGGGGTTCTATGTGGGATGTTTGGTCCAATTCTGTTATTTGTGGGGTTCAGAATGGTCTTTGATTTAGGTGAACTATAAATGCCAGTAACTACAGCTCACAAATGTCAAGGTCTATCCCCCCCCCCCCCCCCCCCCCCCCCCCCCCAAACTCCACCAGTATTCACATTTGGGCTTACTGAGTATTCATGCCAAGTTTGGTCCAGATCCATCATTGTTTGTGTCCACAGTGCTCTCTGGATGTAGATGAACTACAATTCCAAAACTCAAGGTCAATGACCATCAAACCCTTCCAGTATTTTCTGTTGGTCATGGGAGATCTGTCTGCCAAGATTGGTTCAAATCCATTGTTGGTAGAGTTCTTTGATTGTAGGTGAACTATAAATCCCAACAACTACAACTCCCAAAGACTCTGAAGGAGCTGGGGGAGGTGACTCTGAAGGAGCTGGGGGATGGTCCATGTGGTCAAGAGGAGTCAGAAGCGACTGAACAAATGAACAACAACATCACAACTCCCAAATGACAAAACCAATCCACCTCCCCAACCCCACCAGTATTCAAATCTGGACGTATCCGGTATTTGTGCAGTGAATGGAAATACATCCTGCATATTAGATATTTACATTACAGTTTATAACAGTAGCAAAATAACAGTTATGAAGTAGCAATGAAAATAATTTTATGGTTGGGGATCACCAGAACATGAGGAACTGTATTTAGGGGCTGCGGCATTAGGAAGGTTGAGAACCACTGACTTAGGCCTAAAGAATATGACTTGCTCAAAGTCATGCAGTTGTTAGGTGCAGCTGAGTAAGGATCTATAAGCCTTGGTCTTCTGGCATCTATTCTAGTCCAATAATCAAGCCATAACACCAAGCTGACTTCAAGTCCAAAAGTCAAACTTGGTAACAATGCCAAATGTGCCGAATTATTTGCATCCAAATTTGGTGACTCTGCCATAGCAAAAAACACCACCAACAAAAGCCTCAAAAATCACCTTCCTTCTCTCCTCTCTCCTCCAACTTTATTATCCCTTTTTTGGGCTACAGATTATGTTCATGCTGCTGGTTGAGGGATCTTGAAAGCAGTTGTCCAAATAAAAAAAGGTACACGACTTGATACTTGACCTCTCTTATATTTGCTTTCTTTGTTTGTCCCCTCTGTTGGTGCTTAGGGAGAAAGTGTGGTTGTACCAGCTGGAAAATGCTGCCCGGAATGTACTCAGAAACCTTGCTCCGTATCTGGGAGAGCATATAAGGTAACCCTTTGATGAAAACACACAAGAACCAACTTGACCTGAGATATGTGACATATTGCTGTACCTTTGCTGCACTTGAGGTCTTTGCCAGAAGTGATAACTTTTTGTAGTGTGTGTTTTTTTGTCCTTAAATTAATTGCTTCCCCCCCCCCCCTCCATTCCTGAGAAGCCTAATGAATTGAAAGGGATTAGGCACCGAAAGGAATGTGCTGGCAAGAGGGAACTGGGTTCACAAGCCAGTATAGATAAGACCCGTTACTGTTAACATATTTTGCAAAGTGGTGGGTGGGGAGTTGGGAGAAGATAAATAACAGACATTCCTTATGAGGGTGATGTCTTCGCATGATATAATTGGGAAGACATGCATTGCATTATAAGAGGCATGGGAAACGTGGACCCTCCCAAATTATTGTCATATTGCAGTTCTCAATAGACCAATTTAAATAGTTGTTCACTCTCAATGGTACCTGTGAGGCAGGAGAGAGATGTGAAGAGACATATCACAAGATATCCAGTTGAGTTTCATGTCTAGGATGAGTTTGGAATATGCCTCTTCATGGTCACAGGCTTCCTTCCACTTCATGTTAACATCAACAGTTAAAAAACATTGAACGTATATCCCAATGCCAAAGTCTGTTGACAGTGGTTTCGATGGAAGCTATTTTTTTTCTAGCACACTACATATATTATAGCACTGGTTGATATCCTTCCACAAGTAGGTTCTCATGCCCATCTTATTCCATCTTACTTCTAATCCTAATGCAAATCATTTACCAGACCAGTAAGATCTTTCACTATTCATATGCCAAGATTATGGCAACCAGATTGATTGACAACTGGCAAATAGAGGCAGAAAACGTAGAGGAAGTGACAGACTTTGTATTTGTAGGCTTGAATATTACTGCAGACACAGACTGCAGCCAGGAAATCAGATGTTTACTTCTTGGGAGGAGAGCAATGACCAATCTCAATAAAATAGTGAAGAGTAGAGACATTACACTGGCAATGAAGATCCGCATAGTCAAAGCAATGGTATTCCCCATAGTAACCGATGGATGTGAGAGCTGGACCATAAGGAAGGCTGAGCGAAAGAAGATAGACGTTTTTGAACTGTGGAAAATTCTGGGAGTGCTTTGGACTGTAAGAAGATCAAACCGGTCCATACTCCAGGAAATAATATCCAACTGGAGGGAAGGATATTGGAAGCAAAGATGAAGTACCTAATGAGAAGACAGGAAATCTTGGAGAAGATAATTATGCTGGGGAAAATGGAAGGAAAAAGGAAGAGGGGCTGAGCAAGGGCAAGACGGATGGATGGTATCCTTGAAGGGACTGGCTGGATCTTGAAGGATCTGGGGGTGGCCACAGCCGACAGGGAGCTCTGGTGTGGGCCAGTCCATGAGGTCACAAAGAGTCAGAAGTGACTGAATGAATAAACAACAGCAACAACATCATCATCAACAACAACAACATGCTTCCCTGTGATCTTGGCTTGATCCCTAACTGGTCTGACACTAGTTTTCAACTCTTTCCCCACATCTTTTGCATTTCTGTTCACATACAAATGCATCACATTCATGTATTTAATGAAGTAGACTGGCAGTACATCTACACTGTAGAATTAATGCAGTCTGGCATCACTTTAATTCATGGGAGCCCCTGGTGGCGCAGTGGGTTAAACTGCTCCACCGGGGGCAGTTTAACCCATCTGCAAGACTGAAGACCGACAGGTCGCAGGTTCGAATCCGGAGGGAGGAGAATGAGCTCCCTCTATCAGCTCCAGCTCCTCATGCAGGGACATGAGAGAAGCCTCCCACAAAGATGATAAAAACATCAAATCATCCAGGCGTCCCCTGGGCAACGTCCTTGCAGATGGCCAATTCCCTCACACCAGAAGCAACTTGCAATTTCTCAAGTCGTTCCTGACATGACAAAAAGAAATTCATGGGAGTCGTAGTTTTGCAAAGCCTTTTTGCCAGAGAGTCCTGGTGACTCACCAAATAAGCTTCTGCTCTAAATCTCTTCCAGCTAATTTTAAAAGTGCTACAAGATCCATTCATATATGAATTGAATAATGCGAACATATGCTTCTTTGTGTTGGGCAGCATGATGACCAGTGGAAGGAAGATGTCTGCACGACCTGTACATGTGACAAAGGCGAGACAAGGTGCTTGAGTGAAACCTGTGCTCCACTGATGTGTCAAAAGGTAATGCCTGATATTAGAGCCCTGGGAGGATCTTAGGTGAGATTGGAAATTGGCTGTTCTCTCTTTCCCTGAGACCTCTGAATCATTGCATTTCTAGGAGGAGAACAAAGTGCGGCATCCTGGGAAATGTTGTGAGGAGTGTGTACCTTCCAAAGTGAGCTGTATTCACAATGGCACCGTCAGGTATCACAATGAGATGTGGAGTACTTCACACTGCGAGTTCTGTATGTGTGATGGAGGCCAAGTCGATTGCTGGAAAGCAGTGTGTGTTCAAGTTAGCTGTTCCTTGGTAAGTATGCTGAATTGTCTTAACTCCTTAGTGAATTCATGTATTGAAACATGTCTGGGTGGCCTTTTCTCTAAAAGTTTCCAGATAGCTGACAAAGCAATGCAGATAGGTTTCTGCTACTTCTATAATAGAAAATGTGATACCAGAGGAAGAAATAGCATAGGGATAGAGTGCTATGCCACTAAAAGGAGGAGGAGGCGGCGGCGGAGGAGGTGGAGGAAACAGAGGAGGAGGGTGGTTCAACATGTTTCAGCAAGCTTTTCATTCAAAGCATAATGGTATTTATCTGAGAGGGAAACATTCCTGGACTTTGTGTGAATGGACCCAGAAACTATTCCATTTCTTGAGAAGAACAACCTTTAGCCTTATCTTTTGAAAAGCCTAGGTGTGTAGTTCTCAAGATTGTGGGAATGAGACTGCAGAAGTGGTTTAGATAAAAGGTAAAGGCTTCCCCTGACATTAAATCTAGTCATGTCCAACTCTGGAGGGTGGTGCTCATCTCTATTTCTAAGCCGAAGAGCTGGCGTTGTCCATAGACACCTCGTAGGTCATGTGGCTGGCATGTCTGCATGGAGTGCCATTACCTTCCCACCAAAGTGGTACCTATTGATTTATTCACATTTGCATGTCTTCAAACTTCTAGGTTGGTAGAAGCTGGGCCTAACAGCAGGCGCTCACCCTGCTTCCCGGATTTGAACCCCCAACCTTTCGGTCAGCAAGTTCAGCAGCTCAGCGGTTTAACCCGCTGCACCACTGGGGGACTGTGCCATCAGTAGTTTAGAAACTGATGGAAAATTGGGAATGAAAGTGACTGGAAGACAAGATTGTCGCTGAAAAGAAATGCCCAGCAATTTTAGGAAGAGTCCTACCTGTACCAGAAACATGTGATCCAGAGAAATATTGCATCCTTCAGTCCTGATGCTCCTTGAATTGTGACCTGCAAGCGGCAGTTAGGGGTTCATAGCAATGCCATCTGCTTGCTTCTGAACCTTAGGATATGAGCATCATCTTCTTACAACATTTCTATTCCAAGAAAGCACTCAGATATGCAGAAGAAATGTGTGTGGGGAAAACTCGCACAGTATAAATATTCCAAACGAGAGACGTTTCACAAATGTGTAGTCAAGGCTGGTGACTCTGGTGTTAATTGAGGTGATGAATCCATTCTCGATTTTAGTTTGAACTTTTAAAAAGAGCTGTCCAAGGTGCCAAATTGATTTTGGGAGGTGTGTACAATACCTTGGATAGGGGCTTTAAAGTTTGGGCTGAAACCTTGAGTAGATTAGCCTCCACTGCACATACAGATCTCTTTTTAAAATCCAGCATTTGGATTTGGAATAATTTTGATGTTGTTATTGTGTGCTTTCAAGTCATTTCCAATTTATGATTATCTTAAAGTGGGTTTTTTCTTGATAACATTTGTTTAGAGCTCCTGATGGCGCAGTGGGTTAAACCGCTGAGCTGCTGAACTTGCTGACTGAAAGGTTGGCTGTTCAAATCTGGGAAGCGGGGTGAGCTCCCGCTGTTAGCCCCAGCTTCTGACAACCTAACATGCAAATGTGAGTAGATCTATAGGTACAGCCTCAGTGGGAAAGTAATGGCACTCCATGCATTGCTGGACACCTGACCTTGGAAGTGTCCGAGGTCGTCCGAGGAGGCCCTGCTCTCGATCCCGCCTGCTTTGCAAGCATGTCTTGCGGGGAGGAAAGACAGGGCCTTCTCTGTGGTGGCCCCTCAGCTGTGGAACTCCCTGCCTAGGGACATTAGATCAGCCCCCTCCCTTCTGACCTTTCAGAAAAGAGTAAAAACTTGGCTCTTCGAGCAAGCATTTGGAACCTCCAAATAAATAGACAAACTTGAATTGGTAAATGACCCAGGAATGGCCCAAGGCGATGGAACAGATAAGGACTTGAATGAGAGGATATAGTATTTAGCTTTTAATATTGTTATTATGCACTGTCTTATGTCTAATTGCACTATAATGGTTCTTTTGCTTATCAATGTATGTATTTTTATGGCTTCAAATTGTGCTGATTGTGTACGCCGCTCTGAGTCGCCTCTGGGCTGATATGAGCATGTAGAAATAATGCAAATAAATAAATAAATACAGACAATGCTGGCTCTTCAGCTTAGAAATGGAGATGAGCACCAATACTTAGAGTTGGACACGACTGGACTTAATGCCTGGGAAAACCTTTATCTTTACCTTATTTGTTTACAGATGTTTGTCTATGTTGTCCTTCGAGGTTGAGAAAGTGTGACTTGCCCAAGGTCACTCAATGTGTTTCAGTGGCCAAATGGGGATTCAAACCATTTTCTCCAGAGTCATAATTCAGTGTTCAGAGGTCACTTATTGGGTTTCTATAGCCAAGCATAGATTCAAATCCTTGTTTCCAAAGTTGTCAACCAACACTCAAGCCACTGCACCATTCTGGCTCTCACTTGGATTAATTTCCTATATATAAACATTTTTAGTCAGCATGCCCAATACTGCTTATTACCAGTGATATATTCTAACACAGTGGCCTCTGAGGTGATATCTGTGTTCTTCTGCTGAAATATATATATACTCTTTCGGCACAAAAGCAGCAGGTAGAATCTCTCTGCTTTAAAACCTCCCAACTCCTGAAGCTCCCTCTGTATCTAGGGCAGCTGCATCGGTAAACCGGAGCTGACTCCAAGCCGAGTCGCAGTGGGTTTCATCCTTGGTCGGGGAAGAATTAATCTTTCTGGTCACATCACTCTCTTTAAACTGTAATGAGGCCACAGACTTGGCTTCAATCCCTGATGGGTTAAGCAGGTGTAGGATTAGCGGGCGGGAGTTGGAGAACTCGAAGTAGAGCATGAACGGCTAGGCTCTCACAGCAAGCCAGTTCCGATTAATGTGCTGCCAAGCATCGAACCCCAAGAGATTGTTTGTAAGTTCCCAGGCAAATGGGTATTATTATGACTTGATCATCATAATCATCATTAGTATTCGTTTGCACAGAGGAGAGGAATGAGTGTGGTTGACAAGCGTCGAAGATCCTGCAATCCTTTGTGCTAATGACTACTGCTGTTCTTGCTACACCGAGCAAGTAATACCCCAGGCATTTGGGGGATTTTTTTAAACAGGGTTACGTTGGATGTTAAATCTTTTCTTAAGCATGGCTTTATTCCTTTTTCTGCAAGCCTATGTTTAAATATATCTATTTCCTGCAATGAATAGCCAGAGTGATTGAAGGAGGTTCTGATAATAAAGTAGCCCCACATGAAGAGTCGGGACTGTCGGAAAAGAGTCCTCTGATGTTATCCTTTGGTTAGGGGCTCTGCAGTCTGCATTCACATTAAAGTAAAGTAGCTAGAAACAGGGGAAGTAGGGTATCTGAAGTTCCCTATCAGAAATAAATACATGAATAGCAGATTGACAGATGAGATGGGCCTTCTCTCTAATCTAATGTTGAACTTCATAAGAAAATGAAGTTCAACAGGGACAAGTGCAAGATACTCCACTTAGGCAGAAAAAAATGAAATGCAAAAATACAGAATGGGGAACATCTGGCTCGACAGCAGTACATGTGAAAAAGATCTTTGAGTCCTCATGGACAACAAGTTAAACATGAGCCAACAATGTCATGTGACAGGGAAAAAAAAGCCATTGGGATTTTGGCCTGCATAAATAGGAGCTTAGTGTCTAGATCCAGAGAAGTCATGCTACCCCTCTATTCTGTCTTGGTCAGACCACACCTGGAATCACACTATGTCTAGTTCTGGGCACTGCAATTTAAGGGAGATGTAGACAAGCTGGAATGTGTCCAGAGGAGGGCTATTAAAATGATCAAGGGTCTGGAGAACAAGCCCTGTGAGGAGCGGCTTAAAGAGCTGGGCATGTTTAGCCTGCAGAAGAGAAGGCACAGACATGATGAAAGCCATGTATAAATATGTGAGGGGAAATCTTAGGGAGGAGGGAGCAAACTTGTTTTCTGCTGCCCTGGAGACTAACACGCGGAACTATGGCTTCAAACTATAGGAAAGGAGATTCCACCTGAACATTAGGAAGAACTTCCTAACTTTGAGAGATGTTCAGCAGTGGATAGCCATCTGGCTGGATGACCATCTGTCAGGGGTGCTTTGAATGCAATTTTCCTGCTTCTTGGCAGGGGGTTGGACTGGATGGCCCATGAGGTCTTGTCCAGCTTTATGATTCTATGAAGAGTTGGGACTGTTGGAAAAGAGTCCTCTAATGTTATTCTTTGTTGAAGGGCTCTGCAGTCCACATTCGCATTAAAGGAAAATAAATAGAAACAGGTGAAGTAAGGTATTTGAAGTTCCCTATCCTCAGTAACTACATGAATTGCAGATTCAACGCGGTCTCAGACAACCTGGCCATAACCTCTTTCACTGAGTGAACTGAATTTCTGCATAAATTATGACAATGATTTATGAACCTGCATCTACATATATGTATTATCGGGAAGAAGTAAACGAAATAATGATTGATACTGACAGAGTGCAATCGACCCTCCACAATTTATTTATTTATTTACTTACTTATTTATTTACAGTATTTATATTTTGCCCTTCTCACTCTGCAGGGGTCTCAGGACAGATTACAATGTAAATATACATGGCAAACATTCAATACCGTAGACACACAACATATATAGACAGACACACAGAGGCTATTTAACATTCCAGCTTCTGGCCACCAGGGGAGCTGTCACTTCACCATTCGTTTGTGACACTGATGAAGTACTTCCTCATTCTTTGCATACTTCCTGGAGATTTTTATGGCCTCATAAATCAGTTAAATTTCCTACTTGACAGATGCAACTGTTTTTCAGACTGCAAATGTCAACAACAAGCTACACAATTTCGGTCCTCACTCCAACGCAGACTGGCTTTGAACTTATGACCTTTTGGTCAGTAGTGATCTCAATGCAGCTGACTCCCAGCCAGCTGCGCCACAGTCCCAATGCAGTTTTAACCTTTTTGGGTTTGATTATTTGCAGATTTGATTAGCATTTTCTCTTTTTTCCGTTTTTTTTTCATGTTAGGAGCAATTTGAGAATCTGCGAGTTGCTTCTGGTGTGAGAGAATTGGCTGTCTGCAAGGGCATTGCCCAGGGGACGCTCGTATGTTTTGATGTTTTACCATCCTTGTGGGAGGCGTCTCTCACGTCCGCACATGGGGAGCTGGAGCTGACAGAGGGAGCTCAACCCACTCTCCCTGTATTTGAACCCCTGGCCCATCGGTCAGCAGTCCTGACGGCACAAGGACTTAACTTATTGCACAATCGGGGGCTCCATCTTGGAATACAATACTATGGGAATCTCCAATGATTCCATAGTATTAAGCTTTGGTAGTTAAAGTGATGTCAAACTGCATTAATTCTACAGTGTAGATGCACCCAACTGATAATCAAAATGTCCCGGGGTTGGTGGATGGGAGTAGTACAGAGCAAGCATTTTTCCCACCTTTTATTTTCAGGATATATTATTACTGCAAGAATTGCAAGAGAAGCCAACTACTTTGTACGCTGTTGACGTGACTTTCTTTTCAGTTGCTCCAGCCCTGCCCCTCCTGTCTCATTGTGAGCTGGGCAGTGAAAAGCAAGACAGTTATCTTCAATGATACTCCCCAGCCTGGAATCTTGGCAGAGATGGATGCTTTTATTTGGCAGTGATTGCCTTGCCCCATACATATTTGTCCCTCCTTTTTAAATGTAGGGTGTACTTGTGCATGCCTGGCTAGGTAAAAGCAGACAGCTGGAATGTTAACTGCACGTAGTGGGACAAAGGCTCTTTCATTGTCACAAGGTTTTAAAATAGACGCTTCCACAGTTAACCTACATTTTTGTACCAGAATCTCCAGGCATGATGACTGAGGATGATGGAGATTGCAGTCTAGCATATCTGGAAGGCATACGGTTGGATTATTGTTTTCTGGAAACATGCTGTGCAGAAATGGTCAACCTTGTCTAAAGTTTCTCCTTTCTGTGAAGGACATGTCAATTCACTTGGGTATCTATTTGCTCTTTTTATGTTCATGACATAAGTGAGAGGTTGCAACTGGATTACGTTTTCTCCCACATCCATTTCCACGGGTTACAACATGGTTCCTGTAACATAAAATAGGTCTAGAAAGCTAGTGCAGTTGCCATGTACAGATCAGAGTTCAAAAGTATGTGTGAATTGCATAAACCCATGTGTATGCAACTTTGCATGTGTTAGATTTCCTTTTTTAGATCTAGAGAAGTAATGCTATTCTGCTTTGGTTAGACCACACCTGGAATATTGTGTCCAATTCTGGGCACCACAATTGAAGAGACATATTGACAAGCTGGAATGTGTCCAGAGGAGGGTGACTAAAATGATAAAGGGTCTGGAGAACAAGCCCTATGATGAGCGGATTAAAGAGCTGGGCATGTTTGGCCTGAAGAAGAGAAGGTTGAGAGGAGATATGATAGCCATGTATAAATATGTGAGAGGAAGCCACAGGGAGGAGGGAGCAAGCTTGTTTTCTGCTTCCCTGAAGACTAGGATGAGGAACAATGGCTTCAAACTACAAGAAAGGAGATTCCATCTGAACACGAGGAAGAACTTCCTGACTGTGAGAGCTGTTCAGCAGTGGAACTCTCTGCCCCGGAGTGTGGTGGAGGCTCCTTCTTTGGAAGCTTTTAAACAGAGGCTGGATGGCCATCTGTCAGGGGTGCTTTGAATGCAATATTCCTGCTTCTTGGCAGGGGGTTGTTGGACTGGATGGCCCATGAGGTCTCTTCCAACTCTATGATTCTATGTAGGGATATTTGTGTTGATTAAAATATTACACGATTGTACCCAAAGTTCTGGAGCAATGTTTCTCAACCTAAGGGTTGGGACATCTGAGAGAGGCACGAGGATGTGTCAGAAGGGTCACCAAAGACCATTAGAAAACACAGTATTTTCTGTTGGTCATGGGGGTTCTGTGTGGGAAGTTTGGCCCAATTCTATCATCGGTGGGGTTCAGAGTGCTCTTTGATTGTAGGTGAACTATAAATCCCAGCAACTACAACTCCCAAATGTCAAGGTCTATTTCCCCCCAAACTCCACCAGTGTTCTCATTTGGGCCTATTGAGGATTCATGCCAAGTTTGGTCCAGATCCACCATTATTTTAGTCCACAGTGCTCTCTGGATGTAGGTGAACTACAACTCCAAAACTCAAGGTCAATGTCCACCAAACCCTTCCAATATTTTTTGTTGATCAGGGGAGTTCTGGTGCCAAGTTTGGTTCAATTCCATCGTTGGTGGAGTTCAGAATGTTCTTTGTAGGTTAACTATAAATCCCAAAAACTACAACTCCCCAATGACAAAATCAACCCCCCCCCCCAAACCCCACCAGTATTCAAATTTGGGTGTATCGGGTATTTGTGCCAAATTTGGTCAAGTGACTGAAAATATATCCTACATATCAGATATTTACATTATGATTCATAAGAGTAGCAAAATTATAGTTAGGCAGTAGCAACAAAAATAAATTATAGTTGGGGGTCACCACAACATGAGGAACTGTATTAAGGAGTCGCAGCATTAGGAAGGTTGAGAAACACTGTTCTGGAGGAAAGGTGATATCTACTGTACATTAATCAAGCCAACTAATTCTCATAACTGCTTGAATGAGATTCCATCTACGAAAATGGATTCAAACGCCCTTTGTCTTGAGGCAGCCTACTTTCAGTATTATGGCTCTTCAAGTGTAGATTGTGGGGTTTAGTTCTACCTTCACAATGGTATTTAAAAACACATATCTTTTGGAAAAGAACTAAGAGTGATGGAATGGGCTGTAGTAATGATAAAGAGAAACAGAATCCCAAAGACTGCATTCTGATTAAAAAATAAGCTAGCCTCCCACTATCTTCTTCTGCCAGTATCATCTGGAAAAAAAATGCTAATTCTGTGTAATCTTTCTAAGTTTGTTCTTTTCTTTGCAGGATGAAGAATTGGTTCATTTAGAAGGCAAGTGCTGTCCTGAATGCATTTCAAGAAGTGGGCCCTGTGTTTACAAAGAACATACCAAAGATGTAAGTACCCAGATAATGTGGAACGTTTAAAACTTTTAGGGTGGATAAGGATGGAGAAAGATACTCGTTTGGAGAGGAGCTGCTCTGCAAATGGACTTGTGTAAGTCCAAACCATGCTGGAATTAAAGAACTTTAAAATCATAACAGTAAATAAAGAACAACATTCAAAAACAGGGGCACTCCAGACAAGAAACAATCAGGGACAGTGAATCATCGCTCAACACAGGATTCCCCCAGACAGTAAGAAGCCACACCTTGAAAACCAGTATTAAAAAACTCAAAAATTAGAACAGCAAAACAAGAGAGTAAACAATCAGGCACATCAAATCACTCTCGACAAAAGATTCCCCCCAGGCACTTCCAAGCCATTAAATGCTAATCAAGGTGGTCAGTTGAAACATTCACACCTAGCTCCAGCAGACAAAAGTCATTTGTCCCACCCTGGTCATTCCACAGATATATAAACCCATTTTCCTACTTCCAACAGACCTCACTACCTCTGAGGATGCTTGCCATAGATGCAGGTGAAACATCAGGAGAAAATGCCTCTAGAACATGGCCATATAGCCCAGGAAAACCTACAACCTTGAAAACTGCTAGGCCATTAAATGCTAATCAAGGTGGCCAACTGAAACATTCACACTTACCTCCAACAGATAAGAGTTCTTTCTCCCACCCTGGACTTTCCACAGATATGTAAACCCCATTTTCCTAATTTCCAACAGAGCTCACAACCTCTGAGGATGCCTGCCATAGATGCAGATGAAACATCAGAAGAGAATGCTTCTGGAACATGGTCATACAGCCCAAAAAACTCACAACAATCCATGCTGGAAAAGTTATTTGTTAGGACTACAGCTCCCAGAATCCCTCAGCCCAGATGGCCACTTCCTTTGTCATGCCTGGAAAATTCTGGGAGTTTTAATCCAAACAATGGACATTTCACAAATACAGAAACCCCACTTGCCTAGTTTCCTACAGACTTCACAACTTCTGAGGATTCCTGCCATAGATGTGGGCAAAATATCAGGAGAGAATCCTTTGGAACATGTCCATACAGCCCAGAAAACTCACAGCAACCCAATGTTATTATCTTCTTTGCACACTACATATATATGAATGGTCAACAGTGAAATCTTGATTGAACACAGATTTCTGTACTACAATAATATCCTTCTTTTTGTTTTAAAGCAAATTTCTTTATTTTAACATAGGAATGCAGGCAGACACTGACCTGAAAAATAAGAGAAACAGATGAAATGGTAAAAATAAGAGGAACATCTGATTACCAGGGACTTTTTGTCCTTTATAGAAACAAACTAGAGCATGTTGCAGTTTTACACACTCTTGCATACTAAACTTTATTGGATAGATAAGTATTAGGTATATATATCCGTGGTTCCCAACCTTTTGGCCTCCAGATGTTTTGGACTTCTGCAAATCTCCTGGGAAGACAAGCGGACAAACGTCAGTGTGCTGGAAGAAGCAAAGACCACCAGCATTGAAGCGATGGTCCTCCAACATCAACTCCGCTGGGCCAGCCACGTTGTCCGGATGCCTGACCACCGTCTCCCAAAGCAGTTGCTCTACTCCGAACTTAAGAACGGAAAACGGAACGTTGGTGGACAGGAAAAGAGATTTAAAGATGGGCTCAAAGCCAACCTTAAAAACTCTGGCATAGACACTGAGAACTGGGAAGCCCTGGCCCTTGAGCGCTCCAGCTGGAGGTCAGCTGTGACCAGCAGTGCTGCAGAATTTGAAGAGGCACGAATGGAGGCGAAAGAGAGAAACGTGCCAAGAGGAAGGCGCATCAAGCCAACCCCGACCGGGACCGCCTTCCACCTGGAAACCAATGCTCCCACTGCGGAAGAAGATGCAGAGCAAGAATAGGGCTCCACAGCCACATACGGACCCACAAGGAAATCCATAATGGAAGACCATCTTACTCGTCCAACGGGATGGCCTAAGTAAGTAAGTAAGTAAGTAAGTAAGTTTTGGACTTCACCTCTTAGAAATTCCAGCCATCTTACTAGCTGTTAGGATTTGTGGGAGTTGAAGTCCAAAACATCTGGAGGCTCAAAGGCTGGGAACTATGGATATATAGGTTGCATAAAACTTAGTAGAAGCTGTCAGCTGTTTAGCTAGCCTTTATTTACCTTAAGGACTTGCCTGAACTTTGGGAATCTGCTTTTTGGTTTTGCTACAAGTCCCCATTCTGTTCTTCATGTTGTGGACATGTTTGGAGGAATTTTGCCGCCAGTTCAAAATGGGGCGATTCATCACAAAATAATTGCTATAGAACAGTGGTTCCCAACCTGTTGTCTGTGGACCACCTGTGGTCCACAATAATTAAAATATGGTCTGCGGCCTCACTATTACTACACTGTTGCAACGAGAGCAACTGATCTCATGAAACCCTCTTATAGTGTAGAGGCTTATTAAATATGGTTTCCCATGGGCGAGCAGATGGCAAATGTTCTGTATCAGAAACTAGAGCTGATTTGGTCTATCAAATGAATCTGCACCCCAAATAACCAAATCTAAAGTTGACTAAAAACTGATTTGTAACCCTTTTGGTACTAATGTTGGAGAGAGGTCCTTGGTCAAAAAAAGGTTGGGAACCACTGCTATAGAGCATTGCTTCCTAAACTGTGAGCCCTGACCCCAAATGGAGTGCCCTTAGCTCAGTTTTGGGGTTGCAAAAACTTTGGCAACAGTAAAAGGTTTCTGAGTGCTACCTAGACATTTACACATATCTGTTAACAGCAACATGCAATGTTTACACAAATTACTATAGCTGTACTTCATAAAAAGGAAAGTTAGCAAGCATTGCAAATGCTGATTTATCATCAGTAAAGGTTTGATTTTTTATACCTATTTTATATACTCATATTCCTGGGCTTGCAAAAAAATATTATTTAGCTGAAAGGGATCACAAATGGAAAAAATTTAAGAAGTTCTGCTACAGGTGGTCCATTTAGTCATCGAAACAAGAAAGGACTTATTTGGCTGAAGTTTGGTTTTAGTTTCAAATTTGTTGAGCAAGCCTATGTAGAAGGAAGCAATTCACCTGGGAGGACACTATGGATAGTCTTTGTGGGCACCATGTCCCAACAGATGGATCCATTGGCTAGACCGTGCTGGAAACTTTTCAGTCTCTGTATCAGTCTGTCTCTCTCTCTCCACACTGGCAGCTAGCTCATTATTATCTGTCTGTCGTAGAGCTTAGAAAAATCTTTTTAGAACTACAGCTGTCAAAATGCTTAAGGGATTCACTCCTGGCATTATGTGCTTGCCTTACTTTTGTGAGCTGTGAGAAATGTCGGGGGCTTTGCTTTCCCATTTAGTTTCCTCCGGATGAATGAGCACTAAGTCCTGCTCAGGTGCCCCTTCCTCCTGGATGCTCTCTCCCATGAAACAGGGGATTGGGAGCATTCTCAATAATCTCATCGCCTCTCTTGAATTCCCAGAGGCCTAGTCCTACCTCTACATTTTGAGGGTGGGAATAGAAAGTGAGGTTTATGTGGACTAGTTATTTACAAATTTCAGAAAATGTTCATGTTTTAATATGGCTAAACTCCAATTTCTCATGTCTGGATTATGTCCAAAATACTAAATTAGCAGAAGATGAGTTTGAGGTTTCTATTCCTGGTAATAAGTTGGAAGTGAAGAGCTTTTTATTTATCGTGTCATCAGCAACCATTGTATTACAATTCTAACAGAGCAAGACAAACACAGAGATTAAAAAGAAAAAGAAAAAAAGAAAGAAAGAAAAACCACACAGATTTTGCATATTTGGTATTTGGTTAAATGTCCTTTGACCAGTATCTGGCCACTTGGAGTGCCTCTGGGGTTGCCGCAAGAAGGTCCTCCATCGTGCATGTGGCAGGGCTCAGGGTGCATTGCAGCAGGTGGTCAGTGGTTTGTTCTTCTCCGCACTCGCATGCCGAGGATTCCACCCTGTAGCCCCATTTCTTAAGATTGGCTCTGCATCTCGTGGTGCCAGAGCGCAGTCTGTTCAGCGCCTTCCAAGTCGCCCAGTCTTCTGTGTGCCCAGGGGGGAGTCTCTCATTTGGTATCACCCATGGATTGAGGTGCTGGGTTTGGGCCTGCCACTTTTGGACTCTCGCTTGCTGAGGTGGTTCCAGCGAGTGTCTCTGTAGATCTTAGAAAACTATTTCTTGATTTAAGTCGTTGACGTGCTGGCTGATACCCAAACAGGGGATGAGCTGGAGATGTCTCTGCCTTGGTCCTTTCACTATTGGCTGCTACTTCCCGGCGGATGTCAGGTGGTGCAATACCGGCTAAGCAGTGTAATTTCTCCAGTGGTGTAGGGCGCAGACACCCTGTGATAATGCGGCATGTCTCATTAAGAGCCACATCTACTGTTTTAGTGTGGTGAGATGTGTTCCACACTGGGCATGCATACTCAGCAGCAGAGTAGCATCGCGCAAGGGCAGATGTCTTCACTGTATCTGGTTGTGATCCCCAGGTTGTGCCAGTCAGCTTTCGTATGATATTGTTTCTAGCACCCACTTTTTGCTTGATGTTCAGGCAGTGCTTCTTGTAGGTCAGAGCACGGTCCAGAGTGACTCCTCCCAGGTATTTGGGTGTGCTGCAATGCTCCAGTGGGATTCCTTCCTTCCCAGGTAATCCTCAGAGCTCGGGATGCTTGTCTGTTCTTAAGGTGAAAGGCGCATGTCTGTGTTTTAGATGGATTAGGGATCAGTTGGTTTTCCCTGTAATAGGCAGTAAGAGCACCTAGAGCTTCGGAGAGCTTCTGTTCTATTTATTTATTTATTTATTTATTTACTCCTTTTGTATACCGCATTTATCAGCCTTACGGTGACTCAATGCGGTTTACAGTAAAAATATACAACACTGACAATATATAAAACAGACATACACAGACGACACACATATAGTCATCAACGCCTCAAATAGAATCAGATCCCGTTCTCACAGTCGTTTTACCGTTCCTTGTTCAGTATGCCGTCTTC